TTGAGTAAGTAGTCTTTCCACCAATTCTATCCCAAGAATGCACATTGAGTCACTGAGCATTGCACCTGCATTCACACGTACACACACACACGCGCGCGCACACACACACACACACACACACAAATATGTAGGCCATCAGAATCTGCAGCCCCATGCTGGAGCTGGTGGCCTCTGACATTATCTTGCCACCTACAAAGAAAACCTTTCACTTCTGATCCTGCACATTCCAGAGTGTTCTGTGCAGTGCTTCGCTTTCCCCTTCCAAAGTGCCATCTGAGAGAATAAACCTCCAGTGAGATGCAATGCCATGCAAATCCATGCCACTGTCCTCTTCTTTCTACCTGAGTAGTATGTCCTTGTCCCAAACATCCTGAGCTCACCCCAGAGAGGTATCACCTGGTGACAAATGGAGGATCAAAGGACAGAGGAGAGATTGTTGACTGGCATCAGAATTCTCTGCTCTGCTGGCCAAGCTTTATGCCTCACCAGAAGATACTCCATTAAAACAAGGAGTCTTGGTGCTCTGCAGTCACCCACAAGGCTGCTTAGGGTCCATGAAACATGTGACCTAGAAGATTATAAACACAAACCCTTGCCTGAGGGAGCAGAGAGCAGGCTGCTAGAAACACCTAGAGTCACTGTCTTTTTTTGTGGAAATAAAAAGTATTTGTGTTACCAAGGCCTTTTTCTATTGGGACTCTCTTTCTTTGACAATGGTGCTTTGCTGACCACGAAGGGAATGACTTCTTAGACTGCCTGTGTGTGTGTGGGTGTGGGTGGATGTATGTTGGGGCAGAGGAAGGTACTGGGGATTTAAATTAGGAGCATTCTACAGTTGTTCTACTATACCTGAACAAGATCTCTATATGTGTTTTTAAAATTTTACTGTGAGACAGGGTCTCTCCAAAATTCTCAAGCTGGCCTTAAGCTTGCAATCCACCAGTTTGAGTCCCTTGGTTTACAGGCATATACAACTGCACCCAGTCATGACCTTTTGGAGAGAGCTAATTCTTAGCAATAGTTAGCCAAATCCCTAAGTTGTTCACCATGTGCAAATTAAACAATATAATTTCCATACCACCACTATTCTCTCTATTGTGCTTCTACCATCCAAGGTCAGTCTTTGTTTGATCTAATCACAGTATGTCAGGTACCGGAATACCAGGGATGGTCCATGCGACTAAAGCTAACTAAAATTATAACATATTAACCCTAAATTCACTTATGCTGTCTCATCTTTCTGCACAAATACAAGAAAGTCTCTTTCCCATGTTCTCCATCACCTTCCACATGCTCATCTTCTGACCAACCTTGAAGCTTCCCAAATGGCTCTGCACTTCTGCTTATGGAAAACTGTAGATCTCTGTGACAGTCCAT